AGCGTTGATGAGCACCGCGCTGAGGTATTGGATTATTCGAAAAGTAATTTCGGTTTTTTTCCAAATAGATGATGTTAATTACCTTTTTAACCTTTTATATCCTGACGATACTTCAAAGTACCGCTCTATATATGCGCTCTTGAACCTTTTTCCCATGTCTTACCCTACATTCCTGTTGATACTTACAAGTACCACGTCTAAATTTAATCGTTGAATTGTTACAAAATTTATTTTCCTGTTTCTTATGTTTATGATATGCCAAGAGTTATTTAATTACGCAAAAATTTAATAAGGTCTTAGGTAAATTAATTTAGGATATAAAGGGTTAAGCGACTAATCTCATTCTAAACCAGAAAATCATTTTACATTTTTACAACGCACATTTCAAGCTTTATTCGAAAAAGAAATTGTTTTGGAATTTGTCAAGTTGTTTTTGTTTGACGTCGCATCAAAAATGGAAAACCAACGTAAGCATTTTCATCACATTTTGCTTTTTTATTACCGTAAAGGCAAAAATGCAGCGCAAACAAGAAAAAAATTGTGTGCCGTATATGAAGAGGATGTATTGACTGAACACCAATGTTAGAATTGGTTTTCGAAATTTTGTTCTGACAATTTCGACCTCAAAGATGCACCACGTTCTGCAAGGTCAGTTGAGGCTGATTAAAACCAAATAAAGGCATTAGTGGACGCAAATCGTCATTTAACAACACGAGAAATTGCTGAGAGATTGAATTTATCGCATTCGATCGTGCATGAGTATTTGAAATAACTTGGTTTTGTTTTCAAAACACGATATTTAGGTTCCACACGTCCTCAAAGAAAGAGATTTGATTCGTCATATTACCATCTGCGATTTGTTGTTGAATCGTAAGGAAACCGATCCATTTCTGAAGCGACTCATAACTGGAGATGAAAAACGGATTATGTATAACAATATTAAACGCAAAAGGTCATGGAACAGACGTAACGAACCAGTTCAAAGCACATTGAAAGTTGATATGCATCAAAAGAAGGTGATGCTCGCTGTTTGATGGGATTGAAAAGGAATGGTATCTTTTTAAGCTGCTACCGAATAACCAAACGATTGATTCGAATATTCTATAGTGTATTGCCATTAATTGGACAAATTGAATGATTCCATCAAAAAAAAGAGACCAGAATTGGTGAACAGAAAAGGTGTTGTACTTCATCATGACAATGCCAGACCTCACGCAAGTTTAATGACTCGCCAAAAGATGTTAGCGCTTGAATGGGATTTGCTACCGCATCCATCATATTCATCTGATCTGTCACTATCCGATTATCGCTTGTTTCAGTCACTGCAAAATTCTTTGGATGGTAAATATTTCGATTCAAACGAAGATGTCAAGAAGCACTTAATTCAGTTTTTTGGCAATAAGAGCCAGAAGTTCTACGAGCGTGGAATCATGTTATTACCTCAAAGATGGCAAAAGGTGTTAGGTAGGACAAAATAGGGTCAATACTTAACAGAATAAAACATTTTTCTTTCTATTAAAAAGATATCGTCTTTCATTTTCATGCAAAAAAACCGAAATTACTTTCCAAGCAAGCCAATATAAATCGAAATCGTCTGGCGATTTCATCATCCCGCCGACGATGCTCCCTCATTCTTAGCCGCGACGACAATTCATCGACGCGACAATGTTCACGTCCATAAATATATTACGTCTTACACAGGATGTGGGTCTGTGTATGCGCGTACACGTGCGTGTCAAACTACGTCGTACTCGTGTCGGCAACGTAGCGTAATGTGTATTCAACGACGTTATTCAATCCCGGCGCGGATGTGACGGCGCGGCAGGTCGCATGCTTTATATGTCGGCGGGATAATCAGGCCGATCGCCAGTGAAAACGGAAATCTTCCGCTCTCGTAATATCTCTCAACTTTCGCGTATCGCGATATTGGCCATATCTGTTTTCCTTCTTTATTGACAAAAGAATCGTTTCATTGAAAAAATACGATGCTTCAAGTGCTAGTCTATTGGATTTAACATTACGTTAAATATTTTCATTTACGTTGACGTATTTGTATTGTATGTGTGTCATATTGTGTCAATATATTATACCAACGTATTTTATTTGAAATGTATGCATGTCAAATAGCACAATTTTCCACACACACATATAAGTAAAAGAATGACGGCGGTGTTCGCAAATAATCGCGATTAAACTTTCGGAGATATGCACAGAGGTAATCCGCTCGATTATTTATCTCCGAAGCCGAGTGACATTCCCGAAGAAGAAGCCTCATATTTATTTCACGAATCCTTGCCCGAGCAATCGCGGAGTTGCTGAGACCATCTGAGCGTTTGAGCGAACTGCCGTCAAATTGCAAATGCACGTTTGTGAATTCCAGTGTATGTTACTCAAAATTGCTGAAATATTTATATTATTAAGATTACACGCGCGTAGTGCGACATGTACGCGAGAGCCCACGTGAGATTATTTGTTTCTCGCTTTCCCGAGTTTCAGAACTATTGGCACGTCTCGTTCGCGTCACGTGTGCACGCCGCTATTTAACGAATGCGCTCGTGCGCGGACAGTTTTAGAATGCAACCGCGTCAATTGGAGATCTATTTAACGAGCGCGGCACATGGAGGGCGTACATACACACGCTTGCGTGTTTAAACTTCAATAATCAATAAGCACACCTGATTGCAGAGGCGGTCTCATTGCGAAACGACGAGTTATCTCGACAATTGTGTCAGCAAGTGAGTGCGAACGCGAACGAGAAGAAGAAGAAGAAGAATGCGAAAGATAACGCGCGGAAAAAAGGAGCCGTGTGAGAAAATTCACGGCATCCTCGGCTCGTCGAAAGCTAATTTCCATCTCGATGAGAAACGTCGAAACAATTTTTCGACGATGCAGGGAATAATACATTTCCGATGAAAGTTAAATTTCTTCTCTCGCTGGCTATCTCGCTTTAAAGAACGTCGTTGACGACAAGCGGATTTGCTCGCTCCCGAGATAGGAAGTAATTTTGTTTTTTTTTCCGTCGATAATGTGCTCACGCCTCACATAATCTCATTAGCTTGCCGTAGCAAAAATAGCGAGAAACGAGCTATAATATGCGCTTGATCGTGGTGAAGGGTAAGCCGGCCCTCAAAGGGTGAGTGAGAGACAAAGCGAAGAAAAAGTGCGTAAGAGGTGACCGCTGACGATAATTTTCACGTGCGCAGGCATCCTTCAAGGTTCGCCAATCGTGGCGAAATTTTTTCACAACAGGATATTCCCAATTACAAATATTGTCATGGGCTATAGGCCCGCTCCTCAAGCGAAACGGTGCTGATGGGCGGTGAGCGCAGGCAGGGAGGGAGATTATATTTACCGTTCCGTGGGAGAAGAGCCTCTTGAGAGGGATACGAAGGTTGTCGATGTAACCGGATGGAAATCTAAATGGGATATTTTTAGCGATTTTCTTAGGGAACGAGAAAGAGAAAGAGAAAGAGAAAGAGAGAGAGAGAGAGAGAGAGAGAGAGAGAAAGAGAGAGAAAGAGAGAGAAAGAGAGAGAAAGAGAGAGAAAAAGAGGAAGAGAGCGAGAGCGAACGAGATGATCGGGCCAAATTTGTCGAGTAAAAGTTACAAATTTTTCGAGTCTCTTCCGATATGTATGGAGCTTTCTCGGCTCTTATTGCAGTGTAGGAAAAGAAAATGGAAAAATATTCGGATTCACTTCGGCGTGATTGTCTCCTTAGGTAAAACGAAAAAGAAAAACGTTGGGACGTTAATTACAAAACACGCGCTGCGTAATTCATGCAGAATGCGATTATCGAAATGTGCACAGAATTCCCAACCGAATTCTCGTCCAGTCGGCGACGTGCGCGTTTGCAAAAAAGCGTTGTTAAACAAGCGGAATTCGCAATCGCGCGGTTGCGTAAAATTGCGTATTAGAACAAACACATTGTACAGCAGGCTATACCGAAAATTGATTCCTCGCCGAGAGTCGCTGGCGCGGTCCCGTGAATCTCTCAAGCGGAGGAACAAGAAGAAGAAGACGAAGAAGAAGGAGGCGAAGACGAAGGAGGCGAAGACGAAGAAGACGAAGCGTGCGAAAGGAACAAATCCGTTTCGACGTAAGAATCACTTGGCTCTCGATCCGCGTCCCCCCCCCTCCCCCACCTTCTCTCTCTCCTTTTTCTGGCGCAAGTGAAATCAGCGCACACTGAGTTTATCTTTGAACGCGAAAAGACCTGTCGGCAGGTTCGCTGCCAACTTTACGTGCCAGTCCACAATACGTTTCCCTCGTAAACACCCGTGAATCGTTGCTAAGGAATCTCGCGAGGATCCCTTAACGTCCTTTCATTTTAAATAACCCCGGCGAGATGGCAATTTATAGGAATATCGGTAATCGAGCGATGATGTCGATATCTCGCTGACGGGGTGAGCTCTCGCTCGAATCTGCCGCCATCGTTGCTTACTTTACGATGAGGAGGCATTATCCGCGAGACCGTCCACGCTCCACATTAATCAAAACATGTCAGTGCTGTGTAAAATCACGCGTGTGCGAAATCACGAGAGAGCGCGGGCTAAATTCGTTGAGACTGGACGCGGTCGCCAATCCAGTTCGCTACTCGCGAATTCCCGACACGAATTCCCGACACGACAAAAACTCGTCGGCACGTGTCTCCTCGGAAAGAAAAATCGGCTGCATCGTGAAATTAATCACGCCAAAGCGCGATCTCTACCTTGATTTACGATGATGAAAGCAAAGATATCGACGCGAGTTATCTCGCTTTGTGTCCGTCGTCGGAAGTAAGTCCTCCGGAACGAGAGCGATTGCCACCCCTTTGGTCTCGATAACGCCGCTGTCTCGAACCGGCCGGTGTTCCCGACCGGAAAAGTACTCCCCTCGGGAGAAGGAGAATATAAATAGAAAAATAACTAGAAATGGAGAGATGGACAGATAAATGGAGAAAGGGAGAAATAAACGGAGGAAAGGGGAGAGAAAGAAAGAGTCCGCGTCGTGCTGACTTACCCCACCGGCTACCCCAGCGAGATCATCCACAGCGCGCTCGGCTCTCACACGGGTGCACCCATTCTCGTTCTCCCGTTTCGATTTCCTACGGCCTTGCCGCGCGACGAGGAGGAGCCTGCTGCCGAGGGAGGCAGATCGGCCGTCCTCGCGGCACGCGGATGCAACACTCGCCGGCGGTGCCGAGACACCGGTTGTCGCCCGACAAGTGTCTCTCGTTAGCCGTGCCTCCGACAGAGAGGAGCCAGGCAGTACGACTGAATCTCTCCTACGGACTCAGCATCCCGCACGGCTGACACGCTGGACCACGCCACCACCTCGCCGGGGGTGAGCGTGGGACAAGGACGGAGCGCGCGGCCGTGCGCCCGCGCGCGACGATACGCATGCACGGGGTGTCGCAGCGCGAAAGGAACGCGCGAATCGAACACGAGGAAGGAGATAAAGAAGAGGCCGAGGAATTGATCGTGAAGTGAGCGATGAGGGAGGACCGATTTTCCGAATCCCCGATTGCCCGATGGCTTCGAGGAGGGAGAGTCGTCAATTTGCATGCCGCTCGTGATGACGGACGCTGAAGAGTTTCGCGACAGATCACGAGAATATCCACGAAATCTGCTCGACCCGGTATTTCTTCAATTTGGAGGTTCTCATCGTGAAGTTAATTTTTCAGAAAATTCGGACGCAGATCGGGTAATAAACTTACATTAAATATCGAATATGAAGAAAACGTCAGAAGGAGGCGGCGCATATTGGCGATTTTCTCAAAGAGGAAATCGCAACGGTGGGCAACGGTGCTTCCCGGACACCTTGTACACGGATAAAGAGCAAGAGAGCGAAAGAGAGGAAGAACTGATCCACCGACCAGGGACCGTGATAAGAGAGGGAAAGAGAGGAAAAGAGAGAAGGAGAGATCGAGAGAGATCGAGAGAGAGAGAGAGAGAGGGGGAGAGAGAGAGAGAGAGAGAGAGAGAGGGGGAGAGAGAGAGAGAGAGAGGGAGAGAGACGGAAGCACAGGAACTGCGACAGAGCAGAAAGGACCTATGACCCACGCGGGGGAGGGACGAAGGTGGATAAGGATGACGGAATGAAGGGACGAAAGATACGAGGCGACGATGTACGCAACTACGATGGTGGAGAAAATTGGCAGAAGTAGAGAAAGACAACCACGCGGCGGGTCGGGTCAATGCTTCGTCGTTCGTCATACACACATATACACATACATTCACACACACACACACACACACACACACACACACACACACACACACACACACACACACACACACACACACACACACACACACACACACACACACACACACACACACACACACACACACACACACACACACACACGATACAGAGTGTCAATGCCACGAGACGATATCGAAGACAGGTAGTGAGCTTTAGGCGGGTGAACTTTATGAAAAAAAAGCACGGCAGGAAGATTCCTCTCGGTGAAATAGGATAGCGAAATAGGAGAAACCGCCGGCGATTGTCGTAAACACGTAGGAGTAGAACCGAGGATGTGTATCGGAGAGACAGGTTGGATACTCTCGAACAAGGCAGAGAGAGAGACCTCGGGAGAAAGAGGAGAGAGAGAAAAAGTGTGCGAGAAGATACTGATGAAAGGCGCACGAGGAATATGGGTTGATAAAAAGGACGCGGAGTTGCGAATGACTCGTGAGAGAGGAAGAACGTAGTAAGGATCGCCGCACGGGAAAGGGGAAGAGAGCGAGTCGAGAGAAAGAGAGAAGAGTAGACACGCAAGCCCAGGGAAGCGAGGCGAGATGAAAACAGAGAGAAAGGGAGACAGACCGAGTCGGCAGAGAGGGAGGGAGGTCCACGTGCAGGGGGTAGCCGTATTGATCTGTTCGCGCAAACTCCTGGTCCTTAGGCACCAACCCCGCAACCAGAGCCGACCCTCGTTTGCCCCGCTTGTCGCCACCCTCAGCCTGGTCCATTCGCAGTTTCCGAATACGCGCTACGAAGTCCTTCGTGGGATTCAACCGCGAACCTTCTGGCCATCGTTTTGTGCCTCCTCGCCGCTCTTGTAAGACATAACGCAGGGAGTACGAGTGTGTCGTCATTGTCTTCGACATGCTCGCGCTCTTCCTCTTCGTCGTCTCGCTCTGTTTCCGAGTTACGTGCCAAGTGGAAGGATGTAATTGAAGGAGCACGAAAATAAAGTTGATATGTTACCGAAAACCGAATCGGTCGACAGAAATACCAAAACCTTCTTGTTACACGCTGATGGCTTGCTCTTTCTTCAGGATGATTGTACGGAAACTTAATTAAATTATCAAAAATACGCGACTATTTTAGTTGTAACTCGAAAAGTGAATCTTTTATCTATTCTACTTGGCTCTCTATTGCTCGTAAAGGCGATTTCTCAAATGCAATTAATTACAATAACTTTGTACTAATTTAATTAGATGCGATGGTGTCATGGCGCCGGTCACCGGTGACCGCCCTGACACTCAACATGTTAATAATCTGGTAATTTGATTATTTAAAGGAATGCTATCTGAGATATCGAATGCTTTCGATTACATTGTGCCTTGGAAAACATTATCTCTTTAGTACAAAATATATTATTTCTAAACTGGCATCATACACAAGGATAAACGATATACAAAGATAAAATCAATAAAACGAAAAATTACAATATAAGAGGACAATGTCTTCTTCGCATACATTATACCTTCCAACAAATATTATGAATGTATATTATCAGAGAAAAAAAAATAAACGTGACTTCCCTAATAAATGTATATAACAAGAAAAGGAAAGTCTTAATGTCGCGTTTCGATTAAAAAATTCGAGACATTCCTTTTCGCATTCGAAATCTCGGCGACGGCGCCAAGATAATCGCGCGTTTCGCTGAGAGAAGTCATTGAAAGTAATAACGAGATCGCACGCTGCCTCATGTAATCGCTGCGATTAACTCGTGTCTGCGGCGCGCTAATTTTCCATCGCCCACACGGCGACAATTCAGTGCTTTTAACAGGCGTGATCTTCATCGCAGCGTGAAGATCCGGCTCGCGAAATCGCAAGCGTTATCGAGTCCTACACGCGGCACAAGACTGCTCGGCGTGATTACTAGGCCACCTTGAAGACGTGCCGTGACCCTGCTCATGGGGATGCAACTTGACGGGGTTGACTCGTTCTCCGCGAAGGGTGCGATCGACGCGGCTCTGTGCGAACGCCAACACAGTTCCCTTTACGCCTCCGTGTTCAATGACATAGTCACCGATCTCGAGGCCTCATCGTCGTCATTTTTACTCGCTGCAATTTTCACTTACCGCTGACTTTTCATCATTTGGTCTCGTTACTATTATAATTACACACGGAAAAAAAACATTCTATTAATGCAGTAATGTCTAAATTTTTCGAGAACTGGGAAGAATATGGAGATTAAGTACAAACTTGGATGTAAATAAAAACAGAAGGATTCCTGCAGCAGTGACATCCACCTGACGACTTTTTTCCCCTCCCTATATCCTACTGGCAAGTTTAAATTAATTCATCACGGCGAGAAAACTCGGAAACTCCATAGCTTTGCGTACCGCTCGACTAATAATTTCTCCCAATTTGCGCATTTCTTCGCGTCAGAAAAATAGAAGACGAGAGAGAAGGCCGGAGGAATGAAGGAGGGGCAATTAAGCAGTAGGTAGCGGTTTCGCGTTAACGGCGAAATCGCGTCATTAACGACCATGTGGTGGCGCGCGATCGAAGAACGAAGGGAGCGCACGGCGTCGTTTTGTGCTCTCAACAAGCTGTATCGTTTTCGACCGTAGGCGGTCGATGCTTAATTAAATGTCGGAGGGCGTCGAATGCGGTTTAACGGCCCGATAGGATACCGTGGAAAGTATTAAGTCTGGCGCGAGGAAAGGACAGACAACAAGAAAAAAATACATCTCGTCGGAAAGGGTCGAGTGGCTATCACAATAGATTAGAATGGACAGACGAGCACGTGGAAGAGGAGGAGAAGAAGGAAGAGCGATGAATTGAGCAGAATAAAAATTGAGAGATCTCCGTGACAAAGAGAAAACGAACGATACCCCCTCTCTCTCAATCCTTATCCTAGAACCTACTTCGTAATGCACGAACAAGTATCACTATCCATCCTGATACTTAGTTTAGTAGGATATTCGCAACATTTGCGCAATGTCTAAATATACAGGTGAATGAATATTCGGCGGGAGGAAATCAAGCGAGACTTAGTGAAACACACGTTTCTTGGAAAAAGAAAAAAAAATACCATTTATGTAACTTCGAGCGATAACGACAAATGAGATTAGTTATATACAAACAGCAGCGTCGTAAAGATTACAATGATTACGTCAAAAGAAGGATCGATCAATCGCATTAAAAAAATTCGCTCACGCACAGTCAGTCCATCTCCTCGTGCGAGAAGACACAAAAGATCTTTCATAAAGCACGCACAGGAAATCAACGCGTGCGTTTACAAATAGACTGAGTATCATCTATATATATTCGACGGTCTTCCGTGAAGTAGAAAAATTCAGAGAGGATCAGTTATCATAATGTAAAATTCGTTATATAATACGTATCACAAGATTTGCGTGTGTATTTAAGAATATACGTAAATATATACATTAATTAAAAATTCGTATCTAAAATAAAAACATTATTGTATGAAAAAATAATTTATAGGATAGAGGTAGAAGCGTACTCGTACATACGAAGTATGGCGGTACGGTGACGCCAAGGCCTCTTTCCGAAATATATATGTAACATTTATGTAACATGTGCAAATAAACTGAATACGTAAATATTTATAACGATACACGCGTAATTCCCACTTACAAACAGGGACAAACAGCGCGACGTTATTGGAATGACTCTCCAATGTTTGAAACAAATGAACCATATTTCAATCACATATTTTCCATGTAGAAAAATTCTTCGAAAATTATTCTCAGGTCTCCGACTCATCTTCATGCGTTTTCACGCATCCTCTCAATAAATACAATCGATTAAGATCGATTGATCGACTCGCGCGCTTCTTCTTTGGCCCATTTATTTCTAAAGAATTTCTAACTATTCGACGCGAAGCTCGAATATAGGTAACCGTCATATCGGGCGAGAATTTGCTTGATACTTGATCGACGAGGTAACGACGCGCGAGCCAATTGTGAAATTATTCAATTCAATACCTCCGATGACTTTACGGCATTTACACGTTCGTCTTCGGTGAGAAGTAAACAGCTCTAAGCAGCAATGACGTGACCGACGGTGCCTGTTTCTTCTCGTGCCTGGTTGGGTCCTTGGGATCGTAGGAGGCGTAATCCGTAGCGACTTTTCGAGCAGTTATCGTTAGCATGTTCAACAAATCCAGCTTGGTACCGTACTTGTCTAAGATCTCACACAAGCAACTGATGTACCACGTGCCGTCTATAGGATTCCTCCAGGTGTAGAAACCTTAAGACAGCAGAAGGGATTTTAGAAAGCGTTATATTGGGTTGCTCGGAAAGAAATTTCGGTTTTTTGCATGAAAATGAAAGACGATATCTTTTTAATAGAAAGAAAAATGTTTTATTCTGTTAAGTATTGACCCTATTTTGTTCTACCTAACACCTTTTGCCATCTTTGAGGTAATAACACGATTCTACGCTCGTAGAACTTCTGGCCCTTATTGGCAAAAAACTGAATTAAGTGCTTTTTGACATCTTCGTTTGAATCGAAATTTTTACTATACAAAGAATTTTGTAGTGACCGAAACAAGTGATAATCGGATGGTGCCAGATCAGGTGAATATGGTGGATGCGGTAACAAATCCTATCCAAGCGCTAACAGCTTCTGACGAGTCATTAAACTTGTGTGAGGTCTGGCATTGTCATAATGAAGTACAACACCTTTTCTGTTCACCAATTCTGGTCTCTTCTGCTTGATGGAATCATTCAATTTGTCCAATTGATGACAATACACTATACAATATTCGAATCAATCGTTTGATTATTTGGTAGCAGCTTAAAAAAATCATTCCTTTTCAATCCTATCAAACAGCGAGCATCACTTTCTTTTGATGCATATCAACTTTCAATGTGCTTTGAGCTGGTTCGTTACGTCTGTTCCATGATCTTTTGCGTTTAATATTAATGTTGTACATAATCCATTTTTCATCTCCAGTTATGAGTCGCTTCAGAAATGGATCGGTTTCCTTACGTTTCAACAACAAATCGCAGATGGTAATGCGACGAATCAAATCTCTTTCTTTGAGAACGTGTGAAACCTAAATATCGTGTTTTGAAAACAAAACCAAGTTGTTTCAAATGCTCATGCACAGTCGAATGGAATAAATTCAATCTCTCAGCAATTTCTCGTGTTATTAAATGACGATTTGCGTCCACCAATGCCTTTATTTGGTCTTCATTAACCTCAACTGGCGTTGCAGAATATGGCGAATCTTTGAAGTCGAAATTCCCAGAACGAAATTTCGAAAACCAATTCTGATGTTAGCGTTCAGTTAAGACATCCTCTGCATATACGGCAATTTTTTTCTCGCTTGCGCTGCATTTTTGCCTTTACGGTAATAAAAAAGCAAAATGTGACGAAAATGCTCACGTTGATTTTCCATTTTTGATGCGACGTCAAACAAAAACAACTTGACAGATTTCAAAACAATTTTTTTTCAAATGAAGCTTGAAATGTGCGTTGTAAAAATGTAAAATGATTTTCTGGTTTGGAATGAGGTTAATTGTTTAAAAAGGCAAAGCGATTTATTTGAAAAAAACCGAAATTATTTTCCAAACAACCCAATATGTGTCTATTTAGCACACATTTATTATTGACAATTAATATCGACCAATTAATCCTATCGCACGCAATATCTGTTTAGTTTTCTTTTTAGTTTCCTCTTTAGAATTTAAACAAAAGTACAACAACAAAATAAAAGTATGGAGATTCGTTTTTTTCAGTCGGTAACATTGACATATATTTTCAAGCATCAAATCTCATTTTTACACCAGTCATTCAATAGTTTACAAAATCGAAAATAAAATAAAATTCTAATATAAAGATGAGAAAATTATTGGAAAACAATTGATAATCCTCTAAGTAATTTTCTACACAAAAAAAGTACAGTTCATCGACACTTACCTTGAGCTGAGCTGTGAGCTATTAGGATATCGGCGTGAGTCGGTATCTTGTACGATGACACGCTATCAGTTGACGACACCGAACTGCGCGGGGAAAGCACGACACCATTATCGATCTCCTCGCCCCTGCAAGCCTGAAGAAAGCCAAAAGGAGGAGCCAAGTAAAACAGAGTTAAGAGCGACTTCAGACTTGGGATTTTCAGGGCTTGCTGAATCTTTTTTTGTAAATTCAACCCTGAGACGTTTCCCAAATTATTAAACAGCAGCATATTACCTGGATAAAAAACAGCTTGGGCTTGCCCGCCAGCGTCGGACAATTATCAGCTGTGAACGGCTTCCAGAGCTTATCAGTTTTGTAGGCAGCGTCCTTTGCTGATATCAAGTCGTTTTGCAACCCATGAGTCAACACGATAATGCAGATACAATCGTTGTCCGTGTGATCCGTTTTACTGCCAACTACGACGCGAGCGGATAGATATCAATATTGAATATTCGCAAGCGCGCTGCAGACAATAAAAAGACTCCTTAAAGGTGTCTCGAATACGTCCAAAAGACGTTTTATTCTAGTTTAGACATCTTGAAGACGTTTTTTGAAACTTTATGCCGTGTCTGCAACTCAGCGAAGACACTTGAATTTTTGCAACACTCGAAAGGAACGGAGTTCCATCGCGAGTCGGCGCGAAATGAGTATACGTATACTTACGCTCCTCTAACACGTCGAACACTTCTTTGTAGGTGAGATTATCGTAGACCTTCACGTCGAATCCGAGATTACCGAAGCTCTTCTGCAATTTCATCGCGTCTATCGTTGAGCCTTCCCGCTTGTCAAAGCCGGTCATCTCGAATTCCTCGTGATTGAAGATCACGCACTTGCCACGATTTTTGTGATCCATATTGTAGCGATCTGCGTCTTTAGCCACTGACATGAACGCCGTAATGGTCGCAGATTCACTTAAATCAGAAAATATCGAGCACTATCAGATTGCTTCAATCTTTCTTAGCTTTTTTTTATTTTTCTTTCACCAATTTTTCATGTGTACCTGTTATTCTCCGCATCATCGAAAATCTTTACGTGAGCGTCGACTTTGTCGGCTACTCTCTTGATCGGATCGTACTGGAAAGGAGACGTCGCAGAATCTGAAGTGATGAATCGGGTTTCGAGTAGCGACGTCTGCGGAAAATGAACAGATTGCATGAAAAGGAAAACTTACATTCGTAATATCTTAACGAATCACAGCGTCAAGTCGCACTCAAGTACGAAATGTACAAGAAAAATAACATTTTCCACCAAAAAAAATCATATCTTCAAATTCGCCAAAAGAACATTACAGAAATTACAATAGTCTTAACACGTCACGCGACTACACGAAAAAAATAATTATACATAATTACACATAATTTTATATGATTATTATATATAATTCTTTTTGCTCGAGTAGGTTGCTAAAATTTTCTTAATAAACCCAGAAAAAAGTATTCTATTTGTGATAAAATGATTTTTCCCATAATTTCATATTCTAAGCGAAGCCTTTTATAGAAAAAGGATTTCTCTTTCGATAAAGCAATTAAAGTGAACCATTCATTTAAAATTGATTAGATATTATTCTAGCTGTTTTGCTCTTATTTCAAGAGGATTTCCTCTTGCACATTAATTTTCCTCTTATATGAAGAGCAATATGTTGATTTGAATGTCGGCTTCTTTTATTCAGTCATGCTCTACCTCCAGACATGAACGAAAAAATAACCATGTGGATCAGAATGTTTGGAACGCTTTTTAAAAAAGATATATGTGTTGCTGTAACATATAACGAAGATAATTTATCCATATTTGGTCAAATACAGTTTATAATCTATCGCAAGAAGTTGAATAATATATTCTTTCTTTTAACTATGTTTCATACAATTGATTATGATGAACATTTTTGTAGCTATAAAGTCCATAACAAAACTGATTGGAAATTTATTTGTTATGATGATCTTATTTCATTCGTGCCTATTTATTGTAGAACCGGAGTCAGAACTAAATTTATATATACAGGGTGTCTTAAAACTACTGGAACTCCCGGATAACTTTGCAGGATCAAGTTTTCATGAAAAACTTTAAATACAAAAGTTGTAGAAAATCGAGTAACGAACTTGATGGTAATCTTAAATTTGATCACCTTGGCCATGACCTTCAAAGTTATTTGGAGATCAACTTGCGTTTTTTAAATGGGAACCCTTATTTTTTATTACACTGTTTTTTCTACCAATTAATTTGAACAACTTTTATCTAAAACATTTTTTTATTTGCCTAATATTTTTTGAGATATTTGAGGAAAACTTGATAACTTTTTCAATATTTAACTTACGATATCTCGCTATTTGTCGGAAGAAAAAGTGGTACTAGACTTTTCTGCTTTATTTAGTTTCAAGAATATATTGTTACAATAACGCCTTGACTTTTGTTAACTTACTGACTTTTGGAAATTTCAAAATCATCAAATTAACAAAAATCAGAGCACTATTATAACAATATATTCTTGAGACTAAATAAAGCAAGAAAGTCTAGTACCACTTTTTCTTCCGACAAATAGTTAGCGAGATATCGTAAGTTAAATATTGAAAAAGTTATCAAATTTTTCCTCAAATATCTAAAAAAATATTAGGCAAATAAAAAAATATTTTGGACAAAAGTTGTTCAAATTAATTGGTAGAAAAAAACAGTGTAATAAAAAATAAGGGTTCCCATTTAAAAAACGCAAGTTAACCTCCAAATGACCTTCAAATTATGGGTTTCAATATTTTTAAGACACCCTGTATATTACTTTTCGCTATACGTTATAATAATTTTTTCAAATTAACTAATATAACTAGTAAGAATAAAGTACAGTAAGAATGAATAATAATCCTCTTAAAAAAAGGTTAAATAATCTGTGTAAAAAAGGAAATTTATATTAAAATCAATGAAATTTGCATTATGCATATAACACATAATCTCTCTAACTTTAAAAATAATGTGTATTTATAATATGTTCTTTTTAATCTTAGAGAAATCCTCTTGAGGCCATATATAAAATTAAATCCTCTAAAATTTAGATGATTTCGCTTGCTCAGAAATTACTTTTTTTAGATGTACAGAGTATTCCCGAGAATTTTTCAAAGAATTCTATCGTTATCGTCGATTTCACAACAATCGCTTTATTTAATAAGAAACAAAAAAAAGTTGCAGAAAGACACGTTTCTACCAGAGATGTGCAAATTATTCAAATTCGAATCGAATCTAATGTAATTCGATTCGATTCAAATCCGAATAATCCGGAAATTTCGAATCGTGAAGATTCGAATACGAATCAAATACATTAGCGTTTGCGTGCATCAATTATAAAACGGGCCATCTGAGCCTGTATGTTTGAAGCCTTAACTTGTAATTAACTTAACTTATAATTAATAACTTAATTATAAATTACTTTAAATATTTAAATATATATTTTATTTTAAGATGATATTACAATATCAATATTCCCTTTCATATTAAAATCTTCTATCATTATTTGCATATTTAATAGTCATTTTAAATTTCTTAATGATTCGATTCGATTTCATTCGATTCGATTCGAATTCGAATGAAATTTCATAGATTCGACTCGATTCGAATTCGAATTTAAAAAATGAAATTCGATTCGATTCGACAT